TCCAGGCAGTGTGTGCTGGAGCAGTCGTGTGTGAGGGAACTGTGACCGTGGGCAGACCCAGATTGGAGCTTTGTGGACTTGGGCTGAAGCAGTTTGAGCATAAACTGCAGTTGTGGGCAGATCCACAATTTGGACTTCTGTGGAGGACTCTTCTCATTTAAACTCATCTCATTTAAACTATACTTTTACCTTGAAATGTTGAACTTGATGATCCCTGTAGTCCCTTCCAACCTGGTATTCCAGGATTCTATTATTTTATCCTGTGGGAAGGGCACCACGTGGACACAGAGGGAGGCTGGGAGGAGTCCTCCCAACCCCTGAAGTGCAGAGGCCACTTGGGATGAACTCACTGCAACCCCCATTCCCATCCCCCCTGCACCCCTGGGCAAAGCGGGGGTGGTGAAGAAACCAGGAACAAAGCTGAGCCCGGGAAGAAAGGAGGGGCAGGGGTAACGCATTTGACTTCAGGATCTGGTTGTATCTCTCGCTGTTCTTGTTGTTATTGGTAACAAATTAAAACGGTTTTGTTTTTTTCTCCCTGTGATGAGTGTCTTTTGCCCATGACTGTTTAAGTGGTGAGAAATCCTTGTTTTGACTAGCTCCCTTTTCTAGGGTATCGTGGTGCTCAGGTGTGCGCCTTACCTAAACCACGACACCAGCATGAACTAGTAATTTCTTGTGCATGTTATACAGTTTACGTTGTGGAATATATACACAATACATAGCAGTAAAACAGAGACAAAACTAATTTCCTTTTAGGAGGACATTTTAAAATCTTAGGAAGCATGCATGCAGGATGATGCATAGGCTTTGCTCCTTTTCAGGAATATACACAATTTGGTGCATGTGTACATATAACAAAAGTAGACAGAAGTCACTTCTTGACTTCCTTATTTGATTTTATGAGCTATTTATTAAACAGATTTTAACAACGTATTTTATTGGAATAGGGAAAATAGTTGGATGAGCTTTTAGTACTGTTCTATCACTTGCTGTACAAATGAGAGTGCTTGTTTCTGCAACTTCATCCTAAATATTCTATTTACAGAGGCAGGCTGTGTTCGAAGTGATAGTTATAAAATAATGATTATCTTTAAATAACAAAGACCTGCCCACAAACTCATGCAGAGAGTTATGAATGCATCACTGCTCCCCAGTATGATCCCATTTAGAACCTGACTCTTCTACATGTGCTTTTATCATCATCGTGCCTTCTGCCGTTGTCATTTCTTCTTTTCATACCTGCAGAATCCTACTTTTCTCCATTACTTTGTGTTAAGTAAAGAAAAAGAAAAATATTTTCCAGATATTTTTAATTAACGAGGGAAAGATCACACAATGTCTTTTATTTCAATCATGTAAAAAAAAGCGTTCGATTATCAAAAAATTTGGTAGTAAAGAGAATCCTTTTGTCACGTGTACATTCTACAGTTTGTAGATACCTTTAGAATCGCATGAATACAGGCCATACAACTGATAACTGCAGCAGGAGATACATTCTCAGGATTTCTTTCTGAGGATTTGTTCTTCCATAGGTTCGGTGCAGACAGCTGAACTTCTGCTTCATAGTTCATCTTATATTAGTCAATCAGTGAAGCCGTTCTAGTTTAGCCTGTAGTGATTTAAAATTTCCAACAGTAGTCTGCACCATTAGCGTCGGGCTCATAGACTGAAGTTCAACAAGGTAGCAACTAACTGCATCCAAGCACACATTTGTAAATTGTCGCCTGTAAGGAAAACAGAGTAATAACAAGTTCCATTTTGTTTCTGCATATGAGAATTAATCTGAAATAGAAAGTGAGCATTCTTTGAGTTTTAATGGAATAATAAATGTATCAGCAAGACGTCTGTCAGCTGAAGTATTTATTAGAAAAATTTATTTTATCAAATATAAACAATAAAACACATACCCTTAATACCAACGCGACAGATCTACTGTAATATTTAGGTATTACTTTAGCTATGAATACAATCAATGTATACGTTATTTAGATAGCATTGAAGTATCTAAAATTAGAATCAAATCACAACAAATTAGGTATTAATATCTAAGCAGATATTAAAATTAGACAACATTCTCTGAAGCTCTAGTAAGTTAGAGTATTAAAATCAGCTAGCCATAAAAGACCAAACAATTCAGAAAAGAGAGATGTAAACTCTAGAGGTGAACAGGGGATATTTACACATATATTTTAAGGAGAATCAGAAAAAAATATGGTTAGGAGAGTTAATCAAGACTCTGCCTAGTTCTGCTCGTTGTTTCTGAGACAATCTAGTTCTGACTGAAGTTTGTATAGTCTATTCACAAAAGCTGCCAAAGCTAGAGATTTTTGTAATACGCAGGCAGCTTGTTCAAGCACAGCTATTCTTTCACCCGGAAACTTTTCCTAATATTAAATGTAAATTCTTTACTGTTGCAGACTTAAGCTGAATTTTAGTCCTGGAGAGTGATTCATCACCAACCTCTTAAAACCAATACGTGAAGATCTATCTCCATAAAAACTCCAAAGTTTCGTCTTTTCTCTTCCAGAACGCAAGAACTCAGTGCTTCTAGCTTTCCTCCATTAACAGTTTACTGTTTCATTCACAAAACACTAGATTCTTATTTTTTCCCAGTTTTCCCAGGTTTCCTCAAACTTGGCTGTATTACTCCTTAAAGTATATTGCCAGAATTTACAAATAATCCTCTCAGTTCCTCATGAATATTCAGTGAAGAAAATTATCTTTATTGAAGTAGTTTATAGGGAAGACTCTACACTTTTCTACCAACTGGTTTTTAATGAGGAGTCGCAGTAATCACTGCTAGGAAAGAAATACTAAATTCACCCAAAGGAAAAGAAGAAAAACTTTGGGGACTGCTGAAGTGTAGTGCTTTAGGATATCATCTGTCTTTCACTATTTGTTAGAACATGGTTGCCTTTCTTACCTCAGAAGGACTCTGCTTGGATCATGCACATATCCTGATAGTAATACATGAATAGATTCCAAAAGGTGTAAAGGTTTTTTCATTCTGTTCCAATATGGGTCCTAAAAAAAAGTTACAAAATATTACGTAAACAAGAAAAAAAACAACAACTGTGTGTACATACACACAAATTGTCAGCTGTGGTAATTATTTGTTAATTGTAACAAAAATGTAAGAGAAACAGAATCTATATTAAGTCTATACATAAGTACTGTTTTTACTTTTGGCTACTAAAACATACACGAATTTAACTGTTTTCCACTACCTAACAGTTTGTAAAGTAATAGATTTTAGGAAGTTTTGAACTCCTTAGACTTTAAGAAATCCGAGTAGAAAGAAGCAAGTCAATGTTCTTTGTTTTAATTCTGTTTAAACCTGTTCTACAAACCAAAAGTTAAAAATATGAAGACTTGTTATTTATGCCTACTGCATCAATAGATTAGACAAGATGCAATAATTTTTATCATTAATAGGAAATAAAATAAATATATTCAAGATATGCTGTTCCTTCTAATCCTATTCAATCCTGAATCAGCTTTAGGTGAAGAAAAATCATTAACAGTTTTCCTCATACTTAGGACTGACATAAATAAAATCAACAGGGGATAAAAAAGCTGCATTAAAAGACTTTGAGTAAAAAAAGAAAACAAATCTCTGAAGTTGGTATTTTGATATATCATACCTTACATTATTTCCCGCTAAAGACAGACCTTGATAGTAATTGAAAACAAAGTATTTTTTGGTGGCTATTTTCCTTACCCGTGCTTTAAACAACTGGTCATAAACTTCAAGCAACCTTGGCAATTGCACTCCAATTTCTTGCATGGTATACGTTACAAAACCTACATCCCAGTTCAAAGTGCAGACCTGTTGCTCTAGGAATTGCACTATAAAATCTGGAGAACAAAAATAATGTGATGTTTAGATTCCAGCTTGTTAATGGGAGTCCAGCAAAGAAAGGCATTTGAAAGTCATTTACTCCAAGTTTAATTTTCTGTCTTCCACGCAGTCGTTACCTTTCTCCTGTGAAGCACATATAGCAGTTTACCCCAGTCTGCATTGAGGGAAGAATATGCAACATGTACCTACCTCCAAAGATGGTATTAGCTATCAGCAATGCATGATAGGGATTACTGATACTAAGTACTTTAATAGTTTTGCCACAGAAGTATGCACTACTGCATCTTTTATCATGATTAAGCATCAGTAACAACTAACAATATGTTGTTCAGGACTAAATGTTTTTACAATACAGGCTTTTATATAATACCCAGTTGTCAATATGCGGACATCTCAAAAGCAGAAAGAAACTCCAAAAAGGATCCAGAAATCTCCCCAATTCTGTTTTCAGAAGCTGTTTCTGCAGTAGATACTTCAAAAGACAGCCGATAAATGTAATTGCCTAAAATCTTATTGTATGTATAAATATACATTTTTCCTTTGTACTTTGATACAAATGTCACTGCTTTCTAACATGGGATGCGCACAGCCATCCATGAACAACTGTTCCTGCCTTCTAAGCTTCATTTACTTCCCATTCAGGGTGAAGAATGGTAAAGTCTCGTTAAATGCCTAGATAAATTCTATGAAAAACTGCACCCGTAAAATCTGTAATAGTTTTGTAATCATACAATTATACTGTGTTTACAAAATTAGAAGTCAGTAGGAATTCTATGTTTTGTCTCTCAACAAAACTGAAAAGTACTACCCAGCTGCCCTCAAGATCAACTCCATGACTACTGACTGTTGAAGTTATTTGTTGCTTCAGTTACAGCGAAAAACTTCACAAATAACTACAGTAAAACATGTAAATATGTATCACAGAGTCATCAATATTCTTTTCTTTTACTTTTTTTAAAAATAAAGAGACCTTTCTTAGGTTAAAACTATTTTTAGAGTCTAAAAAGGAAGCTGAGACCCATTCCATGTAATTCGTGTTTATTTACTATGCAGGCTGAACAACTTGCCTAAAGGAAAGTAACGAGGTGTGCCAGCATATGTCTTTCCAAGCAATGCCATCTTCAGACTAAGCGCTTGCATTCTGTCGGTGGGGCTCAGAGACACACTATCACTCAACTCTGAAAATGAAAATTCATTTAGAGAGAAATTCAGAAAAAAAGTTCCACATTTATACACAACTACACTGACATACTTAGATTTACTAACACATCAAAATCTTACACTATTGTCAGTGCAAATTCAGCATGAGGAAATGAAAACACAACTTTTTTAGCATGTACGCATATATATTAACAGATTTTTATGTTTCCTTGAAGTTCCATGACATCTACTTAAAAAAAAACAACCAACAAACAAGAATCCCAGAACCCTACCATTAAACCCAACAGCAACAAACCCACAAAAACACCACTGCTGCATAGCTTTTCCCTCAAATCACTGTTAATGTTTACTCAATGGCAACCTTGAACACAAAATCCAAGGGAAAAAAAACCCAAGGAGAGTCAGTTTCCAACTCATGGTAAAGGGTAAGGCAGATTATCACAGCTGAGTGGCTAGGCTTGCAGAGCTGGGCCCAGTACTCGGCTTCTCTATAAATGGCCACAACCCTTACACTTCCACCTCTGTCAGCGTCATAAAAACACTGATCTCCCTGAAGATTCATTAATCTTTGTCATGATAAATTTAACATTTTTATTATAGTTTCCCAATAGTGGAACCTTTAGACAAAAATTCACACGTATTCTGAAGTCCACATATAATGGCATCTAAGAACAAGAAGGGAAGAAACGACTTTTTAAATGTTATCTGGCATGTGATTATTCAAGCCATACATGCAATCAATGTGCTCCAACATATGTTTAAAAATACTACTGTTCTGTCCTTCAGACACACAAGCCAAAGGTAGTGACATTACTGAATTACTAGTTAGCTGCGCTTACTGAATAGATTACAGAATATTCCAGGAAAGATGCATCTCACTTAGACAGCATATCAGTAGCAGTGCATAGTTAGTCTTAAAAGCTTTAACTGTACCATTTTCCTATAGTTCTAGTTTGTACCACTCCTAGTCCATTAAGACTTACCTTTCTCAATGATTTCTTGCCAGAGAGTTTGCACCAAGATAGGATCAGAATGACCTGCACAATGTATAATTGCAAGCTTACACTCTGAGAGCTTAAAAGGGTCAGCAAATTCTCCATAGAGCTGAAAGAAAAATTAACAGACTTCACATCTGAAGTAGGAAAAAAGGATATTTTTAAAATCAGCTTTTCTTTATTTCATGTGGTAGACATCAGACTAGTAAAAGTGCAACTTAGTAATTGTTGCCAAACACTAAATGATTTTATTTTACTACATTTAGTTTCACTTCTTAAATTCAATCCCCAATTTTATACATTTATAATTAGTACTCTTTAAGTTTCTAACAATTTTCCCAATACATGAAGAAATCTAAGAGACTTAATAAAGAAGATAAACACATGGAAGAAACTAAAGTTCTGAATGGTGAAGGAATATCAAAGAACAGGGAAAGACAGTCTACGGTAACAGACATTCTGAGACACGAATGCCAAACTATCTTTCTATTACTTTTCCTAGTCAGCATAGGATCATTCTTTGCAAAACATTCTTTCCTCTGAAATGTGATAAATTGACTTTTAATACAGAGAAGTTTTAATCACCTTGGTTATATCCATCAGCTCAGCATCAAGCTGGGAAATTGCATCCTGCACTGAAGAATGATGGGAATACTGCTGTTGTAATGTTTCTTGTATTTGAAGCTGGATCCCTGCAACCTTGTTTAAAAAAAAAAAAAAAGTATTTCAAGATTGATTTAATTCAGTCAAAGCTTAAGAATACACCTAGAATCAACTTTATCCTCAGAGTCTCCTATCAACTGCATAACTCTGCCACACTGGGAAGAAAGCACAAAAAACTGCTTCTACAGAACTGGTAATAAAAACAACGCATACCAATGAAACAAAATTAAATAATGCATTTACAATGTAGCTTAGGTTAACATTTTCTCTTACTTCCATTTTCTCTTCTAGTTCATGTAGGAATTCACCATCTGCAGCTATAGAAGATATCGCAGTGGAACTTTTGGCACTCAAAATTGCACGTGCAATGTACTCAATTCGTTGCTGAAGAGAAATTTCTGTGCTGCAAAACAGTTATTCAAAATAAAATGGACAGTTAATATAATTATTTGGGGGTTAGTTATAGTCAAACTAGACTCACAGTGTATAACTTCTGATTTTACTAAATCATGCAGGACATTATTGAACCAATCTTTCTTGCAGGCTTAGTTCTAGTGTATGTCTCAATCTACTGCTCCAGTTACACTATTGCATTATAAAATTATGTGTAATAAATGACCACTTAATATATGGTATTTAGAACAGGAAATACATTGCAAGTTAATGTATAATACATACAATAAACATAGGATTTCTTTCCAATAACAGCCTGTATTAAAAGCAAATATAAGCCATTCACTAAAAATTTGTTTAAAAAACATTCTGGGGCATTGGCATTTTCTTGTCCTTCTCTTAAAATACCTATATATAAAGTTTCTATTTTTCTTTGGTTTTTCCCCAATTACCTCAATATATGCAATACATCACACATAATCCATACCTATGCAGGTCAGCTAACTTAGCCAAGACTCTGGCTGCATTACTAAAATTTCTGTTCTTTTCAAAGTATCTCCACAGTAAATCCATGTAACGGACTTTGTTTTGGTCAATCTTGGTCATCCGCACAAGGTAGGGTTCCAAAAAGGGGGCAGTAACCTACAAAAGTCGTAAGATAACATTTATGTTCTTGCTCTCTCTTTGCTAAAGCATCAGCATTATTACAATTAACTCTTCCAGTCCAGTGGAACCCTCCAACAAATTCTTCTCTTGTGTAGAGATGAGCTCACCTGCAACAGTTTGTCTGCCAAGTCAACTTGTATCAACCAGTTGTAAAGTGCAATACTGAAGAGTTCATCTGTTGAACGCTGAGCCAGTTTTAGCATTTGCTCAAACTAAGGGAAGAAAAGGCCAAAGCTGTTAGTCCAGAAGTGGTTACATTATATCAAGCCCTGAATACATGGGGTATGCAGGAACTTATGTTCACGTTATTTGCATGTCAGCATTTCTATGAACAGTATATACATAACAAAGCCAATTAATGACAAATATTGACTTTCATAATTTTTCCATAATTTAAAAAAAAAAATCATCAATTCTACACCACTTCAAATCATACTATTTTCTGGAGTGCAGCTGTGATTTTTTTTGGTGAGTTTCTTACATGGTGCCCTGCTTCTTCATTGCTCAGCATGTTGGGGTCAGATGACAGCACTGGAGGACCTGGCTTTTTGGGTACGCTGGGAGACTGAGGAGCAGCTTTACTTTGATTCACTAACTCCTGAAGGGTGTCAGTGATACACTTGTAACTGTTCAATCTGTAAACAGAGCAAAGAAAATAAAAGCCTCACAATTTTTACTGCAACTATGAATTTCTCCTCTCAAATGTATGCCTTTGTATTGTATGCCTGTAAATACAATTATAAAAATTTTAAAAAGTCAGATTGTCAGCCTAGTTGCCACAGTCTAGTGTGTTCCCAATCATCTTTCTAACATGTATTTCTGTAATGTTCAGATCACAATGTTTTCTGCATCTATCAGTTTACCCTCTGTTCCAGATTAAGTTGGTTCCACATTAATTATAATAAAAGCAAGCATGCTGGGCAAAAATACCTATATTGTATCTCTTATCATAAAATGTTTGCTTGTTACTACTCTGTATACCTTCCACAAAAGCATTACTTTTCCAGTCACCTGAAATAAAGCATCTCATATAACGGTAAGAAAGTATCCTGAAAACTTGCCTCTCTTGAAAAGCTTGGAGTCCAACAACATCCTCTTCTGGTTCTCCATTTTTGTAGAAATGGAGGCCAAGACCTTGGGGATCTTTCTTCTCAGCAGCTGTAAGAGAGAGTTCTACTACTCCCTCATAGAAACGCACTAGAAAAAACAACAAACAAGTATCACCATTCATTATTGTATTAAATCTATCAAAAATGGTGACATCGAACACTTCCCATTTTAGCAATCAAGGAAAAAGAAACTTTATTCACTATGGTCTGTATTGTATAAAAGGTTTATGCCCGTATCTAACCTGTGGGATTATATGCAAGTTTGAAGTTACATATTTGTACAGAGGCTGAAATTTTGACTCTTATAAGTTACATCTACATTTAAATTATGTACTAGCTTCCACTGCACAAAACAGGATTCAGAACCGTCTTTCAAAGAGCTTATCTGGTATAAAACTTTACATTACTTGCAAAAGTACAGTCATATACCCTCTGCTTATGTATGGCCCAACAATTTTCCTAAAAACATTTTTACCATATATATGAAACAAATGGACACTACAACATTAAGTAAGTAGATGGGAATGTTTTTTATACTGAAGTGAGTTTTTTGGTTGGTTAAATCTAAAAAGGCTTTAAACAAGAACATGTTGACACCTATTTATTGTAAGAGTTATGAAGATACTGTTTATGGTAAAACACTATACAAGATGAAAGTTAGTATAGAAACAAAAAGAAGATGGCACAAACGGATACTACAGAAACTACCAGAACTTGATCAGTGATTGCCACTTACCTTGCCTATATTGTGCACAAACATTAGCAAGGTCTACTTGATTGCTGATCTTCTGGTACTCTTTCAGTGACTCTCTTAGCATCTTCTCTTTTTCCAGTTTGCTTTGAGCCTGTCGAGACCGCTGAAGCAGTTCATTTGCCTATAGACAAATGATGGGAAAATGGAAATTACTCACATAAATACACCAAGAACAGATCATGGATACTGTTCTGAGTTAGTGTGTTGTTATTCTGAACTTCAAAGCTGAAAGAGCAGAAACATCACCCTCTAAAAAGCACCTTCTCGTTACTTTATAACACTAAGTTTACATCAGAAAGACTCTTCAATGGCAGTGAAGAGAAGGGCTCAAGACTTAAATAGCCAACTGGTTCCCTATTCTCCCCTCACCAGTTATTTTTTTCAAACTGATTTGAAAAGCTTCAAAAAGTGAAGTTCTTAAGCATACTTATCTTTCCACAAATTGGATGAACCTAGGCAACAGACACAAGAGACTATGCTAAGAACAGACTGGAGTAATAACATATTTTATCAACATCAAGAAGACAGTTTTATTAGACATCACACTGGAGGTAAAGACCCTATGAACACTACAAATAACTGCAAATGCTTTAAACCAGAGCTTGCATAATTTTCACCATTAATCAGCTACAAGACACAAATACGCACACAACCTGCCTTCATTAGTTCTTGCAATCCTGAAACTACTTGAACATAATGACAAGCTGCCCAACTTATCTCCTTTGAACATGTTCTGAAGTTGTATTTTTGGTGTATTTTGTAAAATATGGAAGTGCACTTACCTTGGAACACACAGCATCATCAGTACTATAAAGAAGAGGACAGATATCTTGCAAATGGGCAATGATGCCATCCACAGCAGCATTGTCTCTGATGTAACAGTTTATGAGAGAAGCAATGAGTGCTCCAGTTAACTCTCTGTCTCTAATTACCAAGTCTTTGAAAGCAGTAATCTTTAGATGTTCTTGAAGTTCCTGAAGACAGACAGAATTCATTTGTTTACCAAAGTTTTTACTTCATTCTGTTTGGAAACGACACAATGTTACACCAGTAGCATACAAAACTCCAATGACTGAAGTGCACAGCACAGAAATACATTTAAAATACACATTATATACCAAAATGGAAATAATAAAGAAAGCCGTTTTAATGAAGGCACTAGACCCTTGGATGCCAAAAGATAGTGAGAATTCTTCACAGACTTCTTCTGCCATCTTCATTATGTGTCATTTCTGTTTCAGATCTCTGGAAGAATGGAATTAGCAGTTCCCCTTACTTTGCAGGGCAATGTCAGAATGCACACCCTATAAAATGAGCATGTAATAGTTTTTAATAATGGGAACCATAAGAGTATTGCCATAGATGAGAACAATGACAGATGCAAAAAAAGAATTTAAAAAGTTTTAGGTCTGTACTCCTCATGCTTTTTATATTAAATTACACTGAAGACTATTAACTTTTTGTTAATTACTAGGAATATTTGCTCACATTTGCCAGTAGTGTTTATGTAGTGTGTATGGATGATCACTAGCAGCATGAAAATACTATTACATAAACTCTGAAACTACTGACATAGGGAAAAGTTCTATTTGTTAAACAATTAGGTAACTCCTTGTACAACACAAGGAAAAAGCTGTACCAGGACATGACGCAAAGGTCAAAAGCTTAAGCAAAAATAATTACACCTGAACAAAAGAAAAATCTGTATTACTCTAGAGGTGGTTGAACACCAGAACAGGTTGCCCAGAGATGCTATGGAATCTCCATCTTTGGAGCTACTAAAAACCTTACTTGACTTGGTCCTGGGCAACCTGCTCCAGTTGACTCTACTTCGAGCAGAGGGGCAGATAATCTCCAGAGGTTCCTTCCAACCTCAGCTGTTCTGTGTTACATTCTGGACTGCTACTTACACAGAAGTGCAAGGGTTTGAGACTTTATAACTATATTGCTCTCCACTGTTAAATCTTTACCAACACAATGGCTAAGAGTGAATTCCACTCAGCTGGACAACACTCATCGATTTCTTTCAGCACATTTTGAAGAATGTGCTTAAGATGAAAACACAGTAATTTCTAACACCAGATTCATTATCAACTGTTAATAAAAGTAAACTAAAATCTATTGTTAGAGACAGGTTGCTAAAATTGGGTTATGAGGTCAATACTATGCACCGGTCTCTTAAACACTTGCAACCTGAATAAAAATCTGTATGTGATTTAAAATTCATGACATGTTTTTCAGTGGATTAAAGTAATACTCTTTTAGGAATATTTCGGTAGCAAAAGAAATTCAATGTTAAATACAAACAAATTAAAGTCATATGATTCAGATCGTACCTTCTGAAGCTCACCCACAACAACACTGAATTGGTGCTCACACAGCAACTTCCACAAAGCCAATGCCTGGCAGGTTTTGCGAACAAGCTGCTGGATGCCTTGAAGTGATGTCTTCTCAGTTAGCTGTGCCTCAGCTGAAAAAGCAAGGAGATTGTTATTGTAAAGCCTCAAAATGTACATGCTAATTTGAAACACATAGAACAGTTACTTGTTGACAATCTCTTAGAATCATAGAACCACAGAAAAGTTTGGGTTGGAAGGGACCTTAAAGATCATCCAGTTCGGACATGTCCCACCAGACCAGGTTGCTCAAAGCCCTGTCCAACCTGGCCTTGAGCACTTCCAGGGAGGGGGCATCCACAACTTCCCTGGGCAACCTGTGCCAGTGTCTCACCACCCTCACAGTAAAGAATTTCCTCCTAATATCTAGTCTAAATCTACCCTCTTCCAGTTTAAAACCATTCCTCCTTATCCTATTGCTATCTGTCCTGGTAAAAAGTCCCTGCCTAGCTTTCCTGTAGGACCCTTCCTTAATTTTTTTTTTCTTCTTTCTCTTCCATTCTTGATTAATGCTATCTAGCTGTCTTTGCAAGAAAGTGCCATGTTAACATTTCCTCAAAACAACTACCATCTGTTAACATTTATTTCAAACTGCAACGCAGGTGGAGTACTTTCTGAGAAAGCACACTGGATTTACATCTCAGTCTTAAATTTTTGCCTGTTTTTTTAATAAATAGTTATTATATATATATATTTATGATGAGCATAAAAGAAATAAAATTAAAACCATGCATAATCCCCTTTTTTGTTCCATTACCTGTATTTTCTTCTAGAAAGAACAATTACAGTTACAACTTTGGTCAACACTGTCTACACTGTCTTTAAAGGAAGAACAACTACTCTAGCAACATTTAAATCTGTTAAGATGTATTATATTTACTTTAAGATTAATATAGACATAATTATTAAATGGGTGGAACACAATTGCAACAATGTATGTCTTTATTTTTGAGTGCTTACAGTTCAGAAATGAGGCAGCAATAATTATATCGTGTCATTTAACAATCCAAAAGGGTTTATGGGCTTTGGAATGCATAAAAATAATTAAAAAATAAATTAAATGTCTACCAAATTCTACATAGTTTCTTTTTAAAAAATTCATTCACACCATTGAAAGTGAGCAGTACAGAAAAAGCACCAGAAATTAAAAAGACATTGGCCCCTCAGTTCAAGAAGGACAGGGAATTGCTTGGAAGAGTCCAGCGCAGAGCCACAAAGATGATGGAGGGAGTGAAGCATCTCCCTTCTGAGGAGTGGCTGAGGGAGCTGGGTCTCTTTAGCTTGGAGGAGACTGAGGGGTGACCTCATTAATGTTTATAAATTTGTAAAGGGCGAGTGTCAGGAGGAAGAAGCCAGTGATGGCGGCCAGTCTCAGTTCCTGAGGCTTAACCTTCTCTTGTCACATTTTCTTGGCATATGGCCAGTGGATGCTGTTTGTGAGCCGAGTAACTTTTGATTGCTTTATTATCATTGTTCCTATTCTTGTTGCAATTCATTGCTATTATTATTTCAGTTTGGTTCATCTCAACTGTCTTTAGTTTATCTCAACTCTTTTTAGTCTTTATCTCAATTGATGACTTCTATTACTTTTACTCTCTTGATCCTCTACCCCATCACACCAGAGAGTGGGGAGGATTTGAGTGAGCAGACTGCATGGTGTTAAGCTGCTTGCTGGGTTAAACCATGACAAAAACAAAACCTTGAAAAAGTAAATACTGGCATATTATCGTACCAGTCCTAGCACAAACGCAAAATAAATTTCTATGCCAGCTAAAGGTATATCAACTTGTGTTCACTAAAACAAATACTGCAGTTTTTTTCACAAATTCAACTCTGCTGAGACATTAAAAGGGAATTCTACAAAACCAGGACACGAGTATATACTTCATCTCTAGTACAGTTGTTATAGAAATTATTTTTTCACATTCACATCACTGTAAAAGCACTGTTCCCGATAGAACAGTATGATATGGTATGGAAGTAAAAGCAAGATGCTAGCAAAGATAGCTTCCAAACTACAATGGTTTTCCTGAAAAACTTACTGAGTATGCTGTATTAATGGAATTTGTATGGAAGAAAAGGCATTTTTATTGAGAACTTTTAACTAGAAAAGGGAGAAAGGCAACATCCAAATGCATCATTCCTTGATAACTTCCTGTTTGAAAGTAGTTACATACCATGATATTTCCTTTGAAGTTCTTGCTGGACTTGTTGTGAACTGCCACCATCTGGCCGCATGAAACCCAGAAGCCTCTGTTGTAGATTGGCTGGTGTGCTAAAACTTCAGTTCCAAAATAAAAAGAGATACTAATATGCTACAAATACTGTATCTTTTAAAGATAAAATCTAATAACTCATTTTTAGCATCTGAATAGCTGCAGCTGGAGATCATACATCAACACAACACAGATACACCTGGTATAGTTTTTCAAGAGCTGAACATTAAATACCACTAGAAAATTTAACATAATGAATAATACCTTGGGTTTCCAAGGGCTCCCACTGTAGCAAACTGTGAATTTCTATCCAGAAATTCTTGTAAACCTTTTAGTTCTTGGAGTACACATTCCAGCACATGGGATGGAACACTGCTTTCTACCTGCAAAAGAAAACACACCTCTTTACAGAAAGCTTAGTTTCCAAAAATTCACAATTTAAAGCTAAAGGTGCTAAGAAGACAAACACAAAGAGGGTACAACAAATGAATAGCATAATAGTAATGCTATCACTAGAACACATTATTAGACATTGAGGGCACACATGTGAAGAGGTAGTAGTCCCCTGAAGATACACAGTATTTAAGAGGCTACTTTCTTTGCCACTCTGATAACCAAATTAGCTGTGTTTTACTATTTCCAACTTTGATCTAAAACAATGACTAAGGACTGCCAAGACACAGCATATACCTGCCAAGGTCTTCCAGAGTCTCCCTTAGAACTGGAGAAAGAAACCTCACGTAGCAGTTAATTTGCATTGCTGAAATTACTCGGTTCAGGATTATTTTAATATCCACAGTCAAAAATCAGAGAAATATTTTGTTATTTTGATCATGGACAGAAAGTGAAACATCAAGATGATAATCAGGAAGATGCTGGAAATTTTTTTATGTCCTTACATAACTTCAAAGTTTATCATAACCCACTAAAGCATTTTACTTTTAGGCTTTGTCTGAAGGGGGTATGCAGAAATGAAGGAAGCACAATCACTGATCTGGCCACTGTCAATTAACAACAGTGATCAAATTACAATTAGGTTTCTTTAAAAGTGACATTCAAAGCAGTAGCTTAAAAGGATTTAAAACCTACAATTACTCCTCAGTTAAGAGTGAAGCGGTTAAGAAAACACTCAAATGACAATCATGGTTTTTTTTCCTTGTCAGTTTGTAAGTGGGAATAGAAGTGTAACAGGGCTTAAGACATACACTGTAAGGATCTTTTGAAAAGACAAAATAATCTTTTACGTACTGCAACAACTTCTCGATTGCCACTTTTGAAAACTCTCTCCACAACTATACTGCCATCCCAAATATTTCTGCAACACAAAACAGTACTGTGTTAAAAGCCAAGTAATTTAAGCATATATTTCTGTGAGTCTTCCATATATAATTTCTTAAGAGAGAAATGGTAACGGTTTTTACTCCAAGGTCTAAAATAAACATTTCATTCAGATGAAAATCAAACATTCAAAGAAGTTATTATACATTTCTGAATGGTACTGATAGAGAAATTAACAGAATCTCAAAACTTTAATCAAATTAAGTTTGACATTCTCAAATACTTTAAATACAGGTCAACGTTATTCTTTGGAAA